ATACAAATTTCAAACTTTTTTCTCAGAAGTGTTAGAATTTTTTTGAGTATACTGTTCCAAATGTAGTCTAATAAAGTACAAGTTGCCCGTTTTTCTGTACATATTTCCATTGGAAATATACCTCATCTCAGTATTCTAGGTAAATGCTTCCAGAGGTATCTATGCGTCACCAGAATTTTACTAGCTCTTTACAAAGGCTGCGAGATCGTTTTCATATACCCCCATTTTTCATAGGTTTGGGATTGGTTTCATTTACCTCTATTCCACGGTGCCATGCCGCATTTTCCAATAAACCCATATTTTTCCATGCGCTTAAGATTGACTTCATATACATATATCCATACCAAGTTCCAGGACTCTACCACAAATACGTCCAGAGATATGCTCTATGAAAAATTCGGTTTGTATGGGAGGTTCCACACCCCCGGTAGATATCGGTTTTGTTTTAGCCTATAACCATGCTTGGAAAGTCTGTGTCCGAAATTTCAAAGAAATCGGTACAGCCGGTATGGGCACATTGTGACTCCAAAAAAGAATATTAGAATTCATTCTCTCAACTTCTCAGAATGTAGAAAAGCTAAAAAATATATAATAAGATAGGATATATTAAAACAGTCTCCAAAATATTTACCTGAACTACACAAATCAGTTTGATTGAAAATTTATTTTTATTTATTTATTTTATACTTCACGTTTGACTGTGTCGAAATTTCATGTGAAATGTCACGGCTGTTGACAGAATACTAACCTTAATAGCAAAAATATGGTTCTTTATGCTCTAAAAACAATCTGTGTGAAAGCTGAAAATTTTTGGTTAATTTCTTAGGCTCATCAAAGTTCAATGTGCTCAAAAAATAAAAAATTAATTAATACATTTTTTTAATAAAATTGCAATTATCTTCGAAAGTATTAGTCCTACATAATTGGGTGTACGGTCCTTTTTTGTAGAGAATCGGGATAGGCTAAGAAAAAATTTGTTTAGCACTTGAACTATGATGGACTCGGGCGAGCCTAAGATATTGACCAAAAATTTCCATCTTTGACACAGATTTTTTTAGAGCATAATGAACCATATTTTTGCTATTACCAATCAAAATTCTAAAAAGGCGGATTTTCGGACCACGCTACTGTGTACTCAAAAAAATTCTAACACTAACTGAGAAAAAGTTCGAAAAGGTTTAGTTTTCTACAAAGTTTTAAACTTGGGTTTTGTTAGAGAATGAACTGAATTTTAATTTGAAATTCTTGGAAATAAAAAAAATATGCATAAGTGGCCAACAATATCACTTTGAAATGGGGTGCTATTGATATGACCGATACCGTATGTACATATGTAAATATGTATGTACATATGTATGACATATATACTTGCATATGTACCTACTCCATACATATCGCTAGCTAAGAGTGAAAATGGGGGGTTCGGTTATTTCAAATTTTACGATACCATTTTCTTAATTTGGTTTGCAAAATTTTTCAAAGCAAAAAAAGTCCATATAAATCAGTAGGGTTGTTGTATGCCTTCTTTGGGCTATTAAATTTTTTTCGAAACGATGCATTTTTAATATTTCTTGCTTCTTTCAACGACATTTAACTTTTCTTAAGGAGTGAACTTGGCAACTTTTCACTCTGAGCTAGAGATTTGTAACTCTTCCGCAGTTGTAAAGGGCAACATGGCGAGGTGGATGGATATGTTTTCACTCTCGAAATCATTCGAATGAGTGGCTTTTTCGTTCATACATATGTATGTACATTAGGGTGGTCCAAAAATTAATGTGGAAAAAGTAATGTCGCAATTTTTATCTCTCACCGCCTAGGATTGTTCTATACCGAAAAAAAGCGCCTATTTTTATACCCGAGCGCACTTGTGCGCAACGGTTGTTTGTAACAGGCAAAACGAATCGAGATAGATATATACAAATGTATGCATAAATGATCAGAATGAAGAATTCGATTAAGCGGTGACTGTCTGCCCGTCCGTCCGTCCGTCTATGTACACGATAACTCGAGTAAAAATTGCGATATCTTACCGAAGCTTGGTACGTATACTTCTTTTGGGGCGTAGGACGGATGGTATTTAAAATGGCTAAAATCGGACAATAACCACGCCTACCTTCCATATAACGGTAATTTTCAGAAATACGAAAACTGCGATATTTTCATGAAGATTATTCACTCAAAATTGATATTTACAATAATTTTTAGACGAAAAATAAAAATATTATACATTTTTGGGAAAATTGGCGTAGCCACGCCCACTTATGGTTACATGTGTGCATCTTGGTAACCGCTGCACCAATTTCTTCCATTTGGCACAGTTGTTGGCCTTGACACAGCATAACAAATGGTCGAAAATTTTTAAAATCGGACAATAACCACGCACGCCCACATAAATTATATAATGGTAATTTAGAGAAATACGAAATCTTCGATAAATCAGTAAATATTAAAGTTAATTTATTAAAAATTTACGCTTGCAACAATTCTTTACCAAGAAATGGTTTATGATAAAATTTTGGAAAATGGACGTGGCACCGCCGACTTATGATCACATATATGTATCTCGGAAACCGTTCTACCAATTTGTACCAAACTCGGTATGGTTATTGTGCTTGCCACATAAAAGCAAATCGTTGAAAATTATTGAAATCGGTATATAACGTTAAATTTCAGAAATTTTTCAATGCTTTTTAAAAGATTTTTAGGGTATAATAATAGTCAATAAAATATTTCCTGTTAGTTTAAAAACATTTTGGTGAAGTTACAAATTGCCTAGAAAGGTATTAACCGTTATTTTACGTTGAAAAATTTTACGAGTTTAAGACATTACGACGCTTAACACGTGATTTTATATTTTAAAAAGTTATTACAAATATAATAAGTTATGACTATACCAAATGCTTTGAAACTCAAATTTAGTCAAAAAGTGGAGTTAATCGATTTTGCAAGTGAAGCATTCATGGGTACTTATTCTACAAGTAATATCGCTAGGAGCTACCCAATCGCTCCGGTCTATTCTCCCAGTTCAATACAAAACATTTTTTGTATGTATGTATATTTATTTAAAATTGAGATTGTTGAGAAATAAATAGTAAGTGGTGTTACGTCATGTGATGAAGAAAAATGAGGCAAAGTCAAGTGCGCGAGAGGTCTGTTGTGTAGAGCGCCTACTGCACTACGCTCTGCGGCGAGCAAAATATATTCAATATACACCTTGTTGGTGGCGAGGTGCCACCCATTGGGAGTCTTTCGAAAATATGCTGACGTATTTGTTGATTAACGAATGACAACCGCTTTCCGTGGTGTTTTCGTACATTCAGTGTTCGTCTAGTATTCCACACAGCCGGTTGCTTATAAACAAGCGAAAAGTACTGTAGTAAAGATAACAACAAAAGTCATAAGCTAGTATATCAATGCGTTTTCGGCCTTTATGATTTTTGTTGTTATTGTTGTTCTAAATAACTCAGGTAATTGTTGTTGCATATTAGCATCGGTCTATAGTGGAGCGCTTTACGTTTTGTATGTACATATTTACAACTACACAATTATATTGACTGCGAATAATTGGGATCAACAAACAACTCAATAAAAACTGCACAAAACGGAGATCAACAAACTGCATACTTGGCCGGACATTAAAATACATACATATACATTTGTATACAATTAAACGAGCAGAGTCATGAATTCAATAATTAAATTTGTAAGTTCTGCAAAAAATTCGGCTGCTATAAAAACGTCATATTATACCGGATTAAATACCTGTTTAAATTATACGAGCATCACAACAGGTGTTGTTGAGCCAAAGCGTCAGCCGTTAGACGAAACACCGGTGGGTGCGAAAACAAACACAGCAAGAGCTGCCACTCCAAGCCCCGTACAACGAGAAGCCAAATCGGTTAGTAAATATGTCCAATGTAAGCATGTGAGTGCCATTCCAAATCAAATGTAGTAAGCTTCTTTCCGTAGAACTTCGATTTGCTCAAAGTTTGCACATAGCCCAATTTCATACTAAAACTGGATAGAGATGGATTTATAAATTACACAAATCAAGCCCATCTTGAGCCCATTTGATTTGTTAAATTTTTAATATCTTATTTTTGCATACATACAAAAAAATATTTAAAAAATATGGCCAACTTATAATGAAATTTGGTGACCTTTTGCCACATTCCACGTTCATATTTACAAAAAAAAAACTATTAATAAATTTTTAACAGTTTTTAGGCCGTTTTGCAAGCCTTTTTTTAAATTTATCTGCCCTTCGGTATGTGGTCGGGCTATGTGGAAAATTAAAGGACATCGCTCAGAAAACCACCACTTTTTTTACGTTAACTGTGGAATGGCCACATATCGTCACCTGAAATGCTAAAAAATACGTAACAAACGTCACTGCAATGCAAAAAGTCGTAACTTATAAAAAATTACAAAAATCACTTTTTGATTGATGGTGGACTTGATCGAATTACAACACCCCACATCGTTTTATATGCATAAAAAAAAATATTAGTCACGACGACCATTTCAGTGATGACGTTTGTTACGACTTTCTGCATTTCATAAATCAGACAAGCAACATTAAAGAATTCGAAAAAGGCAGATTTAACCCCAACGAATGTTTTTATCTTGTGAGAGAGACTGACCACGGAAATGTCATTATAATATGAAAGATAATTATCCTTCTTGGTATAAATATGGATTAGCGGTATAATTATTTACTCTTTGACATTATTTTTATGATTATTGAGTCGAGTGTAAATTCAATTTTTTTCTTGTTTTGCGCTGTTTGTAAATTGACGGAAATGATTTATCCATCGGTCTCACTGAGCGGATAACATTGATTATTGCCAATATGTTGTGTAAAAGCCAAATTAACTTCAAAATCCGTTTAAGTATAGAAATCGTGGCCAGTTTCTCATTTCAGGATTAGTTAAGAGATAACATGACAATTATTTCGACTGTTGATCAGTACAATATTTAATATTTTCTTTTCGTTAAAGGTTAAGCCGATAAGCATTCAACCATTGACAGACACATTTGGACGGCACCACACATATCTGCGGATCTCATTGACCGAGCGCTGTAATTTGCGTTGTGAGTAAGAAGAAAACCACAATCAAAAATTATTTTCACAAGACTTATTTGTAATCATTATAGAAATGAAAAAGTTATGAGTGAATGGAATGAGCTATTTGGAGATGCATAGATTTTAGTTGAATTTTTATTCCAATACTTATTAAATAACTATTTCAATTGATACTAAGTGGATGTTAGATAAGATAACGTACATACGAGTATTACTTTCATAGAGCACCTAAATACTACATGTATGTACATATAAGTAGATACATACTTATATGGAAAAATTATAATGGTATTCACCAAAGTGACTGTTGGCAACAATCGTTGCTTGAGCTCATTTGCTCTTTTGCCAGATTGCCAGGCCACTTGCTCAATTCGGTGAATACAACTTATATTTTTACATATTTTACATTTGAAATTATTAATAAATCTTAACTCTTTTATACATATGTATTTTTAGGCCAATACTGCATGCCAGCGGAAGGTGTACAACTACAGCCAAAATCGAATCTTCTAACCACTGATGAAATATTTTACTTGGCTCGAATATTTGTTGAGCAGGGAGTTCGTAAAATTCGTTTAACTGGTGGTGAACCTACGGTACGCCGAGATATAGTTGACATCATTGGTAAGCAGACAAGCGACTATGCATTAAGGAGGATCTACAACGTGATACTCCGAACAGAAGAGCGTTTCAAATAATGCAATCTAAAGTCAAAGCTTTAAAACAACCACTTCACAAAAAATCTAATTATTCCATTTTTTATATACATACATAAATTGCAGCCAAAATAAAATCTATACCTAGACTTGAAAATGTGGGTATAACGACTAATGGACTTGTATTAACACGTCTATTATTACCAATGCAACGCGCTGGACTCGACGCAGTAAACATCAGTTTGGACACATTGCGCCCCAAACGTTTCGAAGAAATCACTCGGCGAAAAGGGTGGGAACGGGTTATAGCAGGGATTGACTTGGCCATACAATTGGGCTTTAAACCGAAATTGAATTGTGTACTAATGCGCAATTTCAACGATGATGAGATTTGTGACTTTGTTGAATTCACCAAAGATCGGGCAGTGGATGTTCGATTTATAGAGTATATGCCGTTCACCGGCAATAAATGGCAAACCGATAGATTGGTCTCCTATAAGTAAGTATGTTTGTATGTATAGGTATGTATTAAGGTGCATAATTTATTGTTTTGTTTCTGTAATAGTGATGTTATTTTATGATGCTTATGACAAGCCTGTATAATATTACTCAGTATATGTTTTAGTAACTACAAAAAAAAAAAGAAACAGAAAAATGCACATGGATGTATGTACATATATCAAAGAGAAATGGAGCGTAAATATTTGGTGCTTTGCATTAGTTTAAGCAATTGCTTTATAATTGCAGAGAAACATTGCAGATTATACAGAAGAGATGGTCGAATTTTCAACCTTTACCAAATGGGCCAAACGATACTTCAAAAGCTTACAGCGTGCCCGGTTTCGAAGGACAAGTGGGTTTCATTACATCGATGACTGAACATTTCTGTGGTACCTGCAATCGCTTACGCCTTACTGCTGACGGTAATATTAAAGTTTGCCTTTTTGGAAACAAAGAATTTTCGCTACGAGATGCTATACGTGGCAATTGTTCTGAAAAGGATCTGATTGCTCTAATCGGAGCAGCAGTTAGCCGAAAGAAAAAACAACATGCCGGTAAGTAAATATTTCGGTCTTATTGTTTGTGATTGTTTTATCACAAGGAAACAGCATATCTCTTTTTAATGATAGATGCGTTGTTTTGAAATCCTTTATCTATAAGTAATCATTGGGTGATTCATCCATTTTATTTGCGTGATTGCAGGCATGTTGAATTTGTCACAAATGGAAAATCGTCCAATGATTCTAATCGGTGGATAGTTTTATACCATATTAATAATGCGCGCTCTCTCATACCAACGACAATGGCTTAAATATACCAGTAAGGTTAGTTTAGAATAAAATTAACCACCGCATTATAATTTTGCTTAAGCATTAAAACATTTCATACATACATATACAATACATAAATAGTACGTAAACATTTGGTTATTTGGTTAATTTTTAGGAAATCGCTTACATCATGATATTGGCGAAGCACAAATATATAACAAATACAAAATTTTTGAAAATCAGCCACACCAACGGATCATTTCGCAAAACGGACACAACGGCATTTCATTACCTGTTTTCACTAGTCTCATTAGCACACAGTCAGCAACAAAATATTGTGCACAAAAACGAAGATTTGGGACGACGAACTCAAATAGTTGTACGACTAATAGTAACAGCGGTAACAATTTAACTCATGTAGATAAGTCTGGAAAAGCACAGATGGTGGATGTCACAAAGAAACAAAGCAGCCAACGCGAAGCAGAAGCTCGTGCCACAGTTGTAGTGGGATCGGCTATTACTGAACTTATACACAAGAACACCATGATTAAAGGCGACGTACTCAGTGTGGCCCAGCTGGCTGGGATAATGGGCGCCAAACGAACTTCGGAACTTATACCTCTTTGTCACAACATTACATTAACGTCAGTTAAAGTGGAAGCGAAACTAAATCTGCAAACAAATAGTGTGGAAATTTACGGTCGAGTAAAGTGCACAGGGCAAACGGGTGTGGAAATGGAGGCACTTACGGCTGTCACATTGGCGGCACTTACAGTCTACGATATGTGCAAGGCCATTTCGCATGATATAACAATAACAGATGTGAAACTCTGGGGCAAAAGAGGTGGTAAACGGACTTTTGAACGCAGTTAGGACAAAATATACCAACTTAAAAAAAATATGATCTTGGAGTATACATCCAATAGGGCTGTTCAGGATCTTGCAATGCATCTTCGGAACATTTGTAAATAACAACAACAACAAAATTAAAACGGTTGCCATGGTAGCAAACACAAAATTTTCAAACGCGAATGCAAATGCAAAACCAAGACTATTGGCACAAAATCCGGAACCACCCTATTATTTATTAGGTACTGCTTTCAGCATCAAGCAGAGACCACAACGATTATAAGAAATGAAATTAATAGCCCAATTCTGTATCGGTGACAAACATTTTTTTTACTGACAAATTTTAATTTTTTCATATATTTTTCCGTAATAAAAACTGTGGCAAGAATTCATCACTGATACAGAATAGAGCCGTAAATGTTGCTGTAGAATTATTACTGAACAATGGAAAAGTGGTTTTCGTCTCCAGAGACGAAAATCGTTAGATTGAAAACTTTTTCTTCTTCTAATAATTATCTGGGACTTTTATTTTTTTCGTCTCGCGGACGAAGACGAAAATGATTTACGTCTCTTCTTAATAATTATATGGAACTTTTATTGAAATGAAACTTCTTGAGTTCGGAGATCTAACGCGTTAAATATTTATCGCCACGATAGCTCATATCCATCAAATCTGTATCGTTCGTTCGTTTTTCAAAAATGAGGTGTCAAATTAAAGAGTTTTGCTTTTACGTAGTTTTAGTTTTCTGAAAAACCTTGCCGATGTTAAAAAATCAAATTGAATAATCGAACTCGGAGATATGAGTAGTCCCCTTGCAAACAGCGTTATGTGATTTTATGATAATAAGCCACAAATTAAAAAAAAACGTCTACGACAACAAGTAACATCCAAATTGTATCTTTTCTTATTACCTGAAAATTTGGATAAATAATAGTCTTTTAACATGAAAAACTAAAATCACAATGTGATAGCTTTTGCAAATTTTATATATAAAAAATTAACATAGCGATTTTTGAAACAGTAACTTTTACATAGCTAGCTTTTTTAAGCTTCTCGCGTGCTCTCCTCTATGAGGACTGGTCTGCAACGCCCTATCTCAAAAAACTTTTCAAGAGCGCCCTATTTCAGAATTCGTTTCAAAAATGCCCTATCTCAGCTGCCGATTCAAAAACGCCCTATATCAGCACATTTTCAATACATTTTGAAGTAAGATAGGGCGTTATTGAACCAAATTCTGAGATAGGGTGTTTTTCAATAAAATTCTGAAATAGGACGTTCTTGAAAAGTTGTTTTGAGATAGGGCGTTTTCAAACTGGCTGCCGAGATAAGTCGATCTTCGTGTAATTAATATAAAATAGGTCTTACAATAAAACGTACCAGAAGACGAAAAATAAATAAAAGTCCCGGGAGCACTCCATAATCGATCCCGACAAGACATAATCCAGACAATTTTTAAAAATCCAGACAGGACATAATACGAACATAACAAAACCCAGAGCAAATAAAATACAGATAAAACATTATTCAGACAAGACAAAATCCCGACAAGACACAATCCAGCCAAAAAAAAATTACAATGCATCCGGCATTGAAATTGATGACTTATGCTTAAATATAAACGGTTACCACTCCACATTTTTTCGCTCCTTTACTGCAAGGAGCCTAACCCTCGCCCCTACAAAATCCTCGGCAACCATTTTACCACAAGGACGAAAGCTGCGAATTCTCGTCGATGGCAAATCAATTCCGATGGTGAATAACCGGAGAATTGTCGGATCTAGCTCTCGTTCCCGGCGCATACAACTGAGATTGCGAACAAAGTACAGAGCCGTAGCAAAGTCCTCAATTTCCCAATTCGGCAGTACTTGGGCAAAGACAAAGAAACGGTGTTGCAAACATACAAGGCAATTGGCCGTCCGGTTGTAAATTATGCAGTGCCTGTGTGCTCGCCGGGGACAATTGGTTCGCAGTGGACGAAACTACAGACATGCCACAATACAACACCCCGGAGAACAACGGGGTGCCTTCTGATGTCACATCCACAGTGAAGCCGAAATTCTACCAGTAAGGGGCACAACATCATTCTCAGCAAGCAGTTCCTAGTAGGGTGCTACAGATGTCAGCACTCGAACTTGCTTGAGCTGAAGGACCAGGTCCAGCACTACGCACAACACCCCTGGGATAAGGACTGTACAGACAGGCTATTAACGGCATTTACAAACTCCAGTCGAGTGAATGCCGTCATCCGTGGCAATCACTACCTGCGAACGAGAGTCAGCTTCAACTGCCACGAGATACCCGTGTAACTCTGGCCCAACTCGCCTCCCAACATCCCCCATGACACCAAGCACCTCTTCACATGCCCACTCAATCCAACGCAACTAACATGCCTCTCCCTCTGGTTCTACCTAATAGAAATATCAAGTTTCCTTGGCCTACCGTTAGTTGAGCCTGCGGACAATTAAGGGCTAAGTAAGCCCTTACAACAATAACAACTGTGTCTTTAATACATTATTTTTGAGTGAAAACAGAAGACAATCATAACAAAAATCCCGACAAAATATAAAAATCGCGCAATATTTTAATTATAATTTTTTTTTGTCGATTTCTTGTGTGGATTGTGTCTTGTCGGGATTATGTATGGTCGGGATTTAGTCGTGTCTGGATTATGTCTTTCGGGGTTCTGTATTTCGGTATTTTGTATATCAGGATTTCATTATACACCCAAAAGTCCCATATAATTATTATGAAAAGACGTAAATAATTTTCATCTTTAAATAATCGTCCCGCGAGGCAAAAAAATATATTTCTTATAAATTATTATACAAAGGCGAAAAAAATTTTCTTTAAAACAAGGTGACGTTTTTGATCCCAAATATGTATTAGGATAATAACTATTTTGGGTCTGATATAAAGTGGTGCTTTTTTAAGTGAAGTAAGAAAAAATCGTGGGGTTGGTTAGAATATCAATTTAGCATTAAGTGTTCAGCTGGCCTGTTGTTCTCCTTATTATAACTACCTTTGGAAATTTTAAATATATATTTATACTGAGGAATAGGGGATTATAAATTATATTTGTTATTCATGAAAATTATTTTTAATTTAAAAGTTTTTAATTAAATATACACGTTCATTTTTACTCAATGCATGTGTTTATTTCCTCCCGTCCATTTTTTAAATTATGATGGGAGCAAGTTTAGTTTCAATTAATCGAAAGAAAACTTATCTTTGCAATGGAACTTCATCTTACTACCGAATCAAAATGCAGTTTTTATCTTTTTCTTATTTGTGAACGCCCACTGTATCATTCGGTGGACGATAGTTGGCAGGGCAGAGCACCTCATATTGATTGCCCGCATCACAGAGTTACCCCAAATTTCATTAATTCGACACTAAAACATTTCGATTTTCCGATTTTTTCTCTTCCTCTTCACTCTTTGGTGTTTCATTGGACATTTGCTCTCCCCGAATCTTAATATTGTGTTGTTCTTTAAATTTATTGATCTGTTGTCCTTTAGCGGTGAGGTCTTCGTTTACGCGTGTGATTGTTTTCTCGATGAAGTCTTTGTTTTCAATTAACTGCGGTAGAACATCCTTAACAGTTCGCTCTGCCAAGACACCACCAATCAGTCGAAAACATTTGCGCTCTGGATCCACTGTTTTGAGGGTTTCTATCACAGTTCTAAAAGAAATTCAATTAGGCATATGTACTGGAATTGATTTGATAGCGAATTGAAAACCATTTGAGGTTATGTTGTCATACATACTTGTGTTCTTTCAAATCCATCTCCAGCGTATTTAAATTGTTTACAAGGTTTCGTTGTTCATTTCTGAGCTGCTGGAACTCTCCAATAATCTTCTCGTTCAATTTGGCTTCCTTGGCTTGCTCGCTGGCCATTGTTTTCTGTGATTTTATTAACAGATGCACGAAAAACAGCAATCTTCCTCGGCAAATTCGCGTCTGGTAGTGATTACTAATTTCAGCAAAATATTTGACAGTGCGAATTGGCCCCAACAGTGATGAAAAGTGGAGTCAATCAAGGCGAATTTATACAAGGTGGTGTTACCGGAGCGGCTGATTTCATGTCTACCATCAGCGCTAGCCATAATATCTAAAAAGTAGAACGTCAGTATAGGCCAACCCTAAAGCTGCGTTTACATTACTCTGGAAAAATCGCTCGTGTAAATAGTGATTCAAAAATCGCTTGCCTCAAAGTAGACAGCAAGTGAACTTTTGCAGGTGATTATCGCCCGTCAAATAATCGTATCATGTAAAAGCAGCTTAAACCGAAGGTAAGGCGAATTCAAAAAATAATCTATCTGGTAGCGCCTTTAGAAATCGCCGCTAAATAGGCGAATTTTGTCATTGGATTCCGTGTTATCAATTTATAATTAATAATTTATTGTTGAGTTATAAAAACTTGATTTTTTATATTTAGTGATTCAGAGCATCTACGCGGAACGCTTAAAATGCTACAAAACGTGATTGACTTCTGCAATTACTGGTGGTTCCGATATCTTATGGTCACAGAGCTATATATGGTCGAAAAATGGGAACGGGTTACAATTCGTAAGCTATCTTTTACCATATGCCATGATAATAAATATTAATCCAAATCGATTTCAACAGATGTGATTTTTGCAATACTCTTTTGCCTATTTTGGTACTTTAACTATTCAGTGCTTTTATCGTTTACGGGTAGTGTACTAGGTATCACTCCTATCTCCAGCGTTGTGGACCAACACGGTAGCAAAATTGTGTAACTATAGCAGTTCCATGATTGGAGGCAACTGCTGGCAATCACTGACGGAAAAATAGCGCATATACATACATACCTAGGCACAGAAAAATAATTTAACTCGTAGTCAAGAAATCACTTCTTTATCAGAATACTGCATTCAAAAGGTTCGACATATAACGAATGAGAATCCCGTATCCTACCAGTGACGCCAAGCCAGTAGGCCGCTTTCATTGTCATAGAAAGGGACAAAAAGTAAATTTCCATATAAACTTTTATTGACTTTCCAATGCTTATCAAATAGTTAAAGCTGAATTTATCTAACAAATATTTAGTTGTTTGTAACACATTCATGTTATTAATCAAAACGCGTAAATGCCCCGTAACCGTGTAAACTCGTAAATAAACTGGTTTTCCGTACAAAATTGAGCAAGTTTGCGAGGCTTACTTGGTTTCGCGACATTTACGCCCATAAATGAATTGCCCTATTATTTATTATGCAGAAATGGAAAAGTATCTAATCCAATATAACAAAACAGCAGCACACTTCAGTTCGGAGATAAGTTTAAATACAAACTTCTAAAAGTATTATTATCAATGGAACTCGCATTATAGAATATGTTACTAATTATATGTATATTATAGCATCTTGTTTATGAGAATTTACGTAAGCTCTTGCAAGTTAAACTGAATTACCACTATCCAATTTTAAGTACACTTAAATGAATGTACATTCATTCGGATAATATATTATTGCGTGACATTGCAAATGTATATGCAGAATCATGATTATGTTTAAAATAAACAATAAAGCACTTTGTAAACGCCTAATTGTAGTTCTTACAAATTTTATTATTCACATACCAATGTACATGCATGCGCTAAAGACATTTTAAGAGCAAAATCTCGGGCAAGTATATTTTATCAATTTCTTTTTCAACAAAACCTTCATGTCTCTCTTTCAGCACAGCAGCATTCAAATTAAAATCTGACTTTAAAAAATGCATACTTGCCTTGTCTTCACTTACATGTATATTATAGTATTTACAATCAGCTAATAAATCATCTATATGCTCATGTATTACAAGCTTGCTTAAGAAAATAGCAGGTACCACCAGTTGTCTACTGGTATATGCGTGTGCAAATACTAAGTACACCTTGCTGTAAAATGAAAAATATGTAACGATTTACATTATGATAAATATTCAATATATACCGCCTTAGTATTTGCAACTTCAAAGCCGCTATTGCACTTAAAATATGTGGAAGCTTCTGTATTCCGGAAAGGACTCTATAGAAATTTCCTTGATGATAGCTTATAGCTATTTTATATGCTAAATCGAATGTTTCGCTTTTTCTAAAATTTCAATTAGAAATACATTTATGTTAATGCTATGTAGGTTTTTGTACATTTGCATCCAAAATTTACCTTACTTCCTGTGGAATACTCAATGCACGATTTAGCGCGTCTATCGTTCCTAAATTGAAGAGAAGATATATCGCCTCAACAAAATTACGCTTTCTTAACTCGTTTAATTTCATACTGTTCACATTGATATCATCGTAGCAACATAGAGCGCGTTTCAAGCACTCCTGCAGGTGTTGATTGCAAATTTTCGTATCAAAATTATCTATTTGATCTTCACAAAGTCTAAAAACTACAGAAAGTAATGAAGTGTTTTTGGCAAAGAGAATGCATATACCTGTAACGACTATAAGCCAAAAACATGACCATTGGTTCAAGTAACTTCAAAGTTTGGCGTTCATTGTACTGCTGCATTACCACCTCCTGTCGAACTGCGCGCAAGCGATCGAATATGAAATCGTAAGCAAAGTTATACGGCCTTCGTTTGTCTAAGATTATACTAGAAACAACATCACATAAGCAGATACGAAAAAGCCTCCCGAAACCGGACTTACTCTTTTAATAAGTATTCCACAGTTTTTTGCAAGCATCGTTCTGTGCGTAAATCCTTAGCTCTGGGTGCCCTCACGCCAGCAGCTGACCGAGCAAAAGATTTCACCAGCTTTCCTGGAACATTTTTCTCGCCGTTTTTCCATTCATAAAAATGTAGAAGTCTCTCCTTAATTCGACTATGATTAGAGGGATATACAAGTAAATATTTTTAGCAGTTCTCAGCTTGGATACAATTCCATAAATCGCACTTACAGTTTTGCTTCTACTTCTGGGCAAAGTAAGTCGCAAGTTCCTAAATGAGAAAAATTGTTGCCGGTACTAAAAAGAGATTATAAAATATACAATCCTACCTGTAATACTGTTGGACATTGATATTTACGTAGTTTGTAATTTTTTTGATATGCAGACGACCAAAGGGATAATTCAATAAATTTGTTGTTGTAATTTTTGTTTTTGCTCAACCCGATGCAAGGCGAATTATACAAGGTGGTGTTCAAGGCGAATTCATAAATTGTACCAAGGCGAATTTATATAAGGTGGTGTTCAATGCGAATTTATACAAGGTGGTGTTGATGGCGAATTTAGATTTTCGCCGAGGTACGTCTTAATGTCAAAATGATGTGTTTGTTGTAAAATGAATTCGCATTATTTACAACAAACACATCATTTTGACAGTCAGTAGTGTCGCGGCTAAAATTTAATTCGCCAACAACACCACCTTGTATTAATTCGCCTTGTTCATGAACACTACCTTGTTAAATTCGCCTTGAATAGGATGTTCAAGAGCTAAAAAATATTTTTTTTACTGGCAATTTGTTTACTACTGTCCTGAAGGCGATTTGGTATAATCTTCCGATTAAAAAGAAAACGATCAATATTTAAGTAAATTACACCGCCTTTAGTAATCTTTATTCTCTGTTTGTAATGGCAAACAAAACAGAATACAATGACGACACAACTGCTGCCCAAATACAGGATCAAAACGCCTTGCTGGATTCGCCTATTCGTGGTCCCACACTCTCAACAAGTACATCAAGTTTCGAAGCTTTAGATCCACATGATCCCAACTTGAGCAAGCTTGCAACAAAAATGTTTCGAAAAACAGAGGAATATATATGCAACGAACTTAATGCACCTCTCGAAGACTACAAACTATTGGAGGAAATGAATAAAGCTACGGTGGCCAAGTATTCGGATATGCACCAAATAGCTGAGAATTTAAACGTATCTACAAACGAATTAAGCATAAAGTTTCAGCAACTGGTATTTGTAAACGAATTTAATGTTTAAACTATTCTAACGAACACATTTCCATTCTCCAAGGTTCCCCTCATGAAACAAATCGATGAAATATCGGATACAGTTGACAAATTGGAGGCTGCCGCCTATAAATTAGATGCTTATAGCATTGCTCTTGAAAACCGTGTGAAATCAGTCCTTCAGCGGAAATCAACAATGCATTAAAACTTTTTTCATTTAATATAACATTTTAGATGTACGTAGTAAAATTAATGTAAAGTTCTCCCCTATCCAAGTATCAATTTGATGAGTATGGCAAGAATGTTGAGGAATATAAGTGGTACTAGAAAGAAAATGTGAAAATGAACTTTGTGTGATCAAAGTTTGCGAAAACTTACTTTTTGCCACGGTACGAATTGAGCGGATCAAGTTAAGAACCTGTGCCTTCGCCGTAGGTTGTCCGAAATCTTGCATATTGGCCGCTTGCGCACCCCAGCCAACTAAAAGAAAGATTCAATCAAAATTAACACGTCAGTTGAGATTTACTCACATTTCGCAAGAAAGCGCTCCTCATGTAACACACACACTGCATTTAAGCACAGTAAAGATGCCTCGACAAGAGTCCATAAAGTAAACATTTTGTTAATAAAATTAACTTTGGAAAACGATGACAACGTATTGCGAATTCGCTATTCCAAAATGTCCCAAAATCGGGAGTTACCAGACTTTTAAAATTTGGGCCTGTGTCAATTGATAGTGTGGCGAATAATGCGGCAACGCGAAGCGAACAACGAGAAAATGGCAGAATGTTCGAATGAATAGTCGATGTTCAGACACGGGAACTTTTGTTGCGGCAACTGGAAGCTTGTAGGGGACAGAGCGACGAGGAAAGGGGACGGGTACAAGTTCTCGTTCTCGGGCAGCGTTGCCAAATAAATTTCAATTGGGTCATTCCATTGAAAGGAGGAAAACGACATAAATTTAAGTATGCCCTATCTATCTGTATTATCATTACATAGTGTAAGATCTATGACTTCCCTACGGTTTTTTTTTTTTTTAACAAAGGTATGTTCTGAACTACAATCTATCGTTAGATTAGTGGTTAAGAGGTAGTTGAAATAGAGGCCTCGACTATTGATCGGGGAGCTCGAACCCACTGCACGCGGTGAACGTTAGCATCGCCTCTGATAAGAACCAAGCCTGTGCTTTATCCGTCCATCAGTCTGCGAAACAGAGATTGCGGAGGTTCATCAGCGTCATAGGTCATGCAAAAGGAAGCCAGCGCATTCTACTTTGCCATTACAAAGGTTCTAATTTTATCTCTATTTCGATCCACCAGATGCTCGAAACCTGCCGTGCCCAGGCCACATACCCTTTTGTTGTTCACCGAAGCTTCCTGGATGAGTGCTATATTGACGTCGCCTCTTCGATCCGTAGGACCCTCCGATCGGTCGTTGGAAGAGCCAGATTCATCAACTGTAGCATTCTTAAGATGCTCTCCGGTAATGACGGCGTAACCGGCACCCACGTCGTAGACCTAGGTCTGACTGGAATGTCCTTCCAGTCCAGCACTTCCCGATTTTCTCCGGCGGCATTATGCAGTGCCACCGAGCTCGAAACATCGCAAGCCATCACCTTGATGTGGCCATGGGGGAGGGATTCCAGGGTTCTCCAACGAGACGTCAAAAAATGACGTTTGCTAGAGCCGCCTGCATCCACCTCCATTGGCCCCGAGGGATGGAGCCGAGTGCTTTAAGTCGTACAGATAATTTGCTCGATGAACACTTATTATGTGTATTGACTATGAATATTGTCACTGTCACAAATTAGGAGTTTCGATTTAAAATAGGAACTTTTTCGTAAGGATTATTTTTATTTCAGGTAAATATTGCGGGTCTTTTGCGAAGGCATGCACTTTGTGCTATATAAATTTGTTGTAAATAAATTTTCCTAAAGTTATTTGAACTCATAATTTTGTATTGTAATAAAAGTGAATGTCTCTATTCAATAATTAGTAGATTTTTTTCGCCAAAATGATATGATTTCGTCGTAGAGCAGGTTTCCTGACTGAATAGCCATAAAATGCTTCTGCGAAATCTATTTTTGATTAATCAACACCAAAAAGAATGTCCCATCCAAAGGCACCGGTTGATCAGAGAGAAAGGCGCCTCGATCGGGCATCATTTCAAACATTTCTTCTACATACAGTTTCCGTTGCTCATCCGAAGTTTCATCGATGCTGCGTATTTTATGGTCGGCGGGCTAAAGTGAGTAAAAATTTATAATTATTCAAGTAAGGAAAGTACCAAATAATGAAAGAGGAATTGAAAACACACCTCACTACTTAAATGGCATGCCAAATTAGCAAACATATTTATCATTAAGGTTTTAGCTAGCATATGTGTGTATTGTATGTGCGTATTTTACTTACCAGCAAGTATCGTAACTTTTGCAAAGGAACGTTTGGCTGCGGTACTTTATTAAAAGGTTCTGAGCTAAAAATTCCACACTTCCAACAATTGACGAAGTAATCCATAAAATCTAACCGCAATTTTAAATCCTCTAAGGATGAATTTTCCTTTTTCAACTTTCTGATCCATTCGGTAGCAATGGACTTCTCACGGAAATTCAAACGCTGAACAACACATTCTAATTCTTGTAGTAGACAATCGAATTCCTTGCTTAGCTCCCCCACTTCAGACATTGGTCAAGTTCGAGTTTCGCTGGGTATGTAATTTATGTATATATGTTTAAAAATAATAATTTAAAAATTCAAACTGATTTTCATTTACTTACATAAATACATAAATATTTGTCATTTGAATTTGAATGAAGAGTGTTGGGAAGCAAACGCTTTCAATCCACTTGCTATATTTGTACAAAGCTTGCGTACAATGGCGTAGATCGGATTGTTCATTCATGGGTAACGCTCAGATCTATACTTTTTTTGCAGTATCATATAATTTTTTATTTTTTTTGATTTCAAATATGGATACTGATTCTTTCCACAAAATATTGCACTCATACGAAAAAATATTTGACTTACATACATACATACAATCATGTGAAACAATTGAGACACGCTAGTCTAGTTAACCCTTTCAGTACAATCGTCCAATATATTGGACAAACTTTTTTTGTACTTAAAGCTCTTTTTTTCTTAAATAAGAGCTTTTGTTTTAAAAATGACAGTTGTTTTGAGAAAAGTATATTATTCTTATGTATCGTATTTCTTTTATTGTATGTATTTTCGGGATGCAGTTGACCGTGATTTTTCACAAAAGAGAAAAGTGTCACAAAAAACGATATTGAGTAGTGTAATATGTATGAACAAATTCATGTTTTTTCGGTGGAATTTATATCCGAAAAAAGTGTTAAATATTTTTCTCAGTTTTGAAAAAGGAAAAAAGAAAAATTATTGATATCACTTTCCTGTTTACAAATCTAGAGTAGCACTGTCCAATATAATGGACGCTGAATAACGGTAAAACTAAGATTTTTACAAAATTTTTGATGGTATTTTTGAAATCAATGGCCAAAAAGTAGCCGGTAAACAAATTTTCCGAATTTTAGTATCAGCGGCCGATTTTTTGCTCCGAGAGGGTTAATAATATAATACCACCATATAAATACAGACTTCAAGCTCTGTAAAGGAATTCATGAAATTTTCACATACTTTTAATTATAATTTTTATAAAAATTCGAAGTATCCAGTTTTGTATTTTATAAAATTATAATAATAAATTGCTAAGAATTCGTCTTAATATTTGATAATTTCCGGTGTTATTTTTTCTTCCATACAAAAAAAAATATGTCGAGCTTAGCAACATTATATGGAAGGAAATGCGTGACGCTGTAAGCAAACCAAAAAACCAAAAATAAACTTAAAGCTAGTGAATCGTCGTTATTCAACTTTGTAGAATTTTTTCTTAATCTTGTACAAAGTTAGAAATATGGATTTTGGTGGCTTTTGTTAGGCCGTATCATTTTGTTGCGAGGGTATAAAACAGGCACACATGGTACCAGAAATTCCTTTATTTTATTGAAAAACTGCTTTAAAAAAGACTGATAGATAGAGATACTGCGCAACGGAATTTTTTAGCAGGATTATTCAGTTTTTCGTCCCAAAAAAGGCACGAGCGTTATTCATTGGTAACACAGTATATACAGTAATACACCTTTTTGAGTATTCCTCGGGGTAGATTTTTTGATAAAGAGAAGGAGCATGAATTTTGCTGATTCAGAGTTGCATACAAAATTACTGTGGTATGAAAGGGAGCAACAACCGTACTATGGCAGAGTGGCACAGGTAGTTTTGCAAACAAACACTTTTCTTATAATTTTAGAAATAACCGCTATTTATTTTCCAATATTCAGATATCCAGCTTGTAGCCACAGGAAGTGGCATATGAGGCTCACTTAAATCTACTCATCATGTTGGAACAGCTCCGGGTAATGGACCATTGGATGTGTTGGCTGAACTTATGACCTGAATTTATACGGTAGCAATTCATAGCAATTGCTATTGTATGTGTGTATGGTTAACATTTGTGACATTGTACACTTTGATGTTAAGTATTTTTGAGGAGTTCCGCTCAAACTTGGGTGTGCTTAATGAGCGGTCTGGGCGGATGCGGTGGCAGGCATTGGAGTCTCTTTGCATATAGACTCATATTCGGAAAGTAAGAATTTTCTTTGATAAATTCGTGAGAATACGATGTGAGTCTCCAGTTTATAGAAACACAAGCGTTAATTATGTACTTAACTATTGATATTATTCTTAATTAAGCATTGGTACTATATTTAACCTATATTTTGTTCAAAAATAACACAATCATATATATTTTATCCTCGGAAAGACCTTTTTCTAATCATGAGGAAAAATTCCCCACAGTAGTGTTGCCGTGCGCGCAAAACGAAAACTCTGCACACAACCCAAAAGTCCCTTGGGGACCAATTGTTGAAAAACTGCGAAAAACTTTATTACTGTATACTACACCGTAATGGGTAACATCGAGACTGATGCCACAAATCAGAGCAGAAACTAAAGCAGTGTTTGCATTGTTCAACTTTGCGTTCAACTCAACGCAGGGGTGCACGAAAAAAAGTTAAATGGCTAAAGCCGTTCAACCAAATGTTGAATGTAAATTTAAACAATACAAACACATTTTAACGGCAAATATTTTGATATTTTTAGCCATTAAACTTTTTCCGTGCAACCCTGCGTTGAGTTGAACGCAAATGTCAACGAAAATCTCTTCTCTGTGCCGCCATGATAACGTTTTTCTGCTATAATAAGCAATTTAAATATAATTTAACTTAATATTTTATTATACCCGAGCACACTTGTGCATAAGGGTATTACAACTTTGTTCACATAACGGTGAAGTGAAGAAGAAGTGTTTTTCTTGCACATGGAAAAGTATATCGACTAGCCTACAACAATATCAACATATAACAAAAAACTCGTTCAAAAACTTACAAACAAAGTTTGTCTCTTTATCAAACGATGTTGGTGTATAAATGCATAGATTTCATGAAAATTACACCTTGACAGTTTGCCAGGTGGTCGCTTTTGCTACGAACACATAAAAAGCAAATGAACACAATAGACGAGGTAAGAATGAAACGTAACTAGCCATATGAGTTAAATAATAAACAATTTTATCCAATTGTTTACCAAGGTGCATTCATGTAAGAATGCGGGTAAACTGATACATTAAGCAATTTATCCCTTTATCACTTTTTATGAACGCCCCTATTAATGCAGATTACTTGATTATCGAATTTTTACCATCGATTAAAAAGCGACAACTGTAACGGGAACACGGCAACTCTATCAAAATCGAAATAGCTTGTGGTTTGTTTACATTTTTCATTGCGCTGGATAACATCGTACTCGTAGTATTTAAACAAAATATTAATTTAGATTTTGAATCATGGCATCTGTAAAACAATTACTGGTTTTTATGCTATCGTTGGTCGCTTTTGCGTATACATTTTATGTTGTAGGATCTTTGATGTTTTTCTTGTCGCGTCCTAGAAACGTTCCGAAAATATATGTTTGGGTGTTTAACTTGCTGGACAACAAGTCTCGCTTGGAGACAAGTTACGGACCAATGCTGTTTGACACTCTCTACATAATTGGATTTATATTACAACATAGTTGTATGAAATCTGACCTTGTAAAAAGTATTTTGGACAAAGTTGGATTGGCCGCAGCAGAACGCTCAATATACTGTCTTACGTCATCGTTAAGTTTACATGTATGCATGATATCATACGCTTATCTATTTTTGTTATTTATGTTAATCCATGCATATGTATATATATATGTATCTATTTGTTTACAAATTTTGTACGCAGTACCTTATACGACATTGGTTGCCTGCTCAATCCATAGTCCTTTGGCAGGTGGATGTGGCGTCTAGTTATGTGTTGTGGTGGACATTTTCTTTAGTACATGGATTTGCTTGGATGATAATATATGGAGGCAGTATTATAATGGATCTGCCAGAAATATTGGGAGTGAAGCAGGTATTGGCCATAGCTTTATGATGGGTTAAAAATTATACTCACATTTTTAACCATTTTAGGCTTATTATGACTTGAAGGATTACGCGCAGCCAATCGCATACAAATCGTTCAGATTGCGCCATTTGTACAGCCATGTACGACATCCATCATTTGTTGGCTTAAGCGTAATCTTGTGGGCCACAAACCTTATGACCATAGATAGATTCTTGTTGGCATTGCTACTGACGACTTATATGTTCCTTGCTTGGTCAACCGATCGTAATGACGTAGTTTATCAACGCAACCAGTTTCAACGCAAAGTACAGGAGCTCAAAAACGATTAATGAGGAGATCGCACACATATCCTACGACATATTCGATTAAAGTAGTCTCGAGCACAAATTCATTATTTCTATCACATCTATTTATAATCATAATCTTACAAGACTTAATATAGTATTTATGCACATTTACGTTTTTATACTAACAAAATAAAGGTCTCTGATATAATTAGCTGAATTTAACCATAGATGCATCAAACGGCTGTCCTTTGAATGGTGATCCTTCTGCATCCCATGCTGTGCGTAATCGCTCAATAGTGCTTCCACCGTCAGTTGTCACATGTTCTGTATTTAAACTGTCCTGCTCCATTTGCTGAACTCGCAATTTTTGTATTGCCGCTTGTGAGTCTTCGGGTAATTCATCTATGTATCGTTCACAATCTATTTTCTTGGAATCTAACGAATCTTCTGTGGTGAAGAACTTTTCCCACCATATTTCTTTATTTTTATCTGAAATATTTATTACCTTTATTAAACAATTTATTCAAATATAAACACTACTTATGTTCGCTACTTACCTAAACTTATTGTTAGTTTTCCTTCTGTTATAGTCCACACAGCATCGTTGTGCTTAAATCGGTTGCTAATCTGACCATTTATGAGAATTTCGGCGGGATTAGCTCGACTCCGCACGGAAATCAGATCAGGCTTTATATCAATGCATATCGATTTAGCACTATTTAATTCTGCTGGCAATTTAACATGTAGTTCCACTTCACTCAATGTCTGCGACCAACAGTACTTTGCAAAGCATGAGCCGTTCTTGTAGTCTGTGGGTACAAACTCAGAGTTTTGCGATTTCTTTTGTGTTTCCTTAGTGTTGATGTCTATTGCTGGGTGCATTGAATTTGAAGCCTCTTCGGAATCCATCTGTACTTCATCCGTCTCTACTTCAACTTCTTCCACGGCTGGTGGCGCAAACATGCCATCAACTTCCGTGCTTTCAGCCGTCAGATTGTTCAACTTACATTCTGGATCATAGCGTTGCATAGCACCGAAAAGAATTTGCTCACGCAAACCTTTAGCAAAACCAATTTTCTCATTTGGGTCCTTTTTAATATAGTAAAAGTCGGTACTAAAAAAATAAAAGGATTTAAATTTTATATTAGTTTGTCAGCTGTGAATGTAAGCTTACTTTCTTCGCAGGAATCCAAAAACGGCATCAAGAAACCCAGTTACTGTTTTTCTTTGCTGTAGAATTTCCATAAATATTGCGTCTGTGCGTAAGCAATCCATTGTAGACTCGTTTTTTAGATGTGTTTTGGAATACGTGAATCTTTTATACAAAAGTGACGAACAACGTGAAGTGTTCGATTTTTTGGGTAAATAAAAATATTAACTGCGAGTGTTGCCAGGGTCATCCTATTACAAGCTGGGATTTCCCATACAACAGTTAAAGCTCAGTTAGTCTAGATTTAACTTAATTTAACTTACCGTAAGAAATCATCGATTATTACTCAACACGTCAACTTAAGCCAAGAGCGGAAATATTTTGTTTTTGTATTTTCTTCTTTAGCTGTTTAACAATTCGCCGCCTAGAATGCCACATCAAAAAATTGCATGCAAACAAAAATGTTTGCTTTCATTTATTTTTAAGAAATAAAAAAACGACTGTCTGGCAAGCCTGATTCTCTCACCGCTCTCAATTTCCGCAAGGCCGTAACTTAAGAACCTAAAATTTACAGGTTCTTAAGTTTCTTACGGTAAGTTAAGTTTTAACTAACCGCCAACACAGTTTCTCATATAACAGTTTAGCCATAATATTAAGTTAAGTTAAGTTACGGAAATTAAGTCTAGACTAACTGAGCTTTTACTCGCCTGGAGAAACTGAAACGTATTTTCTTTTAGCAAAGAACGTAAAATTTCTTTATACTTTGGTACCTTATTAAGTATGTGCCACTGATTTAAAAAAAATATATAGTTTATTCTTTAACAACCAATTTATCAATGCAAGTTCGGTTCTATTCTGTTATCCCCACCCTACCAAATGTGCTCAAAAATTATTATGAATTGCTTAGAGCGTGTGTGAATCGGCAACAAAGTTCGCGGCAAGTAAATTTTTGACAACTATGAGGTGAATAAAATTTCAGTAGCTCATGAGGCTAGTGAAATTTTTGACAAATGCATAGAAAATTTTGACAATCGCAAAGATTGTTGATGTGTGTAATTTTTCTTTAAATAATAGCTTAAATTGATGAATTGCAATCAACGATGGTAGATGTTTTCTTAAAATATTAATTTCACTTCAATTTGTAATATTTTATTCCGCATAAATCTGCGGTTATCAAAAATTTACTGCTGTCAAAAAATATTTAATTTCACACAGCAGATTGGCAAAACTGTCTCACCATAGTAAAAGTATTATTCAACAGCTTTCCCCATAGAACTTTGTTATCGATTCACACATGCCCTTAGCAGAAAAAATCTGTTAACTGTTTCCAAAAAGAGTTCTCCTCGAAAAGAGTGCGGGCAGGGTAGTTTGAATTGAACCGATGAGGGCTATTTTTCTGAAGCGCGGCCGAAGACCACCATTTGCAAAACTGTGTACACAAAATAATAAAAAAAATCTCATTAAAAAGCATGGTGAAATTATGCCAGGTGTGGTAATAAAACAGCTTTCTCGCTCTATTTTCCTAGTTTTCTTGACGTTCGGCTATCTTATAGAATTTTTTTCAAGCAAATTTTAAAATTAGATAGTGCCAAATCTTTTTTCTCGCTCTTATTACTATACCTGGTATCATTTCAGAATGATTAAAAGTTGAAAATCTTATGCAATTGCTTTTCACACTGCAGAAAAAAATGTTTGGAAACTCATCATAACAATTTTTTTCAAATGGAATGGAAAAAAGACTAACCGCCGTGTACACCCTGCAAATTTTCACCCGTTCATCGTAACTAAATAATGCAGCATGCTCTTAGGCGTACTCATCATGCCCGTGCTGGTATATGGCTCTTGTAGTATTCGAGAAAAAGATATTGCGAAAGATTTACCGAAGGCGATGGAACGATGAGCTGTATGAGTATGGACATAGAGCAGCGAATTAAAATAGCTCCGACGGGTTGGAACCCGCTGGTGGGAACAGAGGAAGAGAGAGACCCCCACTGCGTTAGAAAGACCAAGTATAGAGAGACTTGGCTTCACTTGGCATTTCCAATTGGCGTCCGTGGGCTCAGAAGAGAAACGACTGGCGTGCTTTTTTGAACTCGGCTAAAATCGCTTAGACGGTGATATAAAAATCCATAAGATTTGAAAAAATTTCCCAATCCAAAAACAAGCCAATGACAAAACTCAACGGCTGACTATTGTCTTTGCTACTGTGCCTAAAACTATGCCGCAACTTGGTTTTAAGCGCTCTAATAATGACAACTGTCATTGTTATCGTTATGACCCACTGAGTGCGTGACAATGACGAAGCAATGTTGCAGGCGCAGTAATTGTGACAATAGTCATACGATAAATTTTGTCAATGATATATGATATGTATGTATATATAGCAAGTGCGCCGTCACATACCGCGCGCACACTTTGAACCGAAGCATGCATGCTGGCCCAATACGAGCATTCAGAACATAAATAACTTCTATTTGAATGCCTTATGAAGTAAAGATTTTTCTTAGAATATATAAAGCTCACATAATTTACTTACGTCAGCTCCAAAAATGAACACGTTATTTGTTCACTAAGGCTAAAATTCTACATTTTTGAAGCAATCAAGTCCGAGTGGGTACGCATGTTGTTGCTGTTTTCACTTGGCTTCTGTTACTTTCGCATAGTCAATTTGCCGAAAAAACTTGCCGGTGTTTTCCAATGTAGTGGGGCGCGTGCTTTTTGAAAATTTTCAGCATCGCTGTTTTGAGATGTCCACACTTTTGCTCGCTACTGCACATAGCATGTATGTATGTATATATGTATGTATGGGATAGGTCTGCTGGCAGCATTGGGTGCATGGAAATGAAAGACTTAAGCAACAAACTGTTTTGTATAGTAAAAAATTTACAGAAACGGTCAAATTCTCGCTTATAAGTTCAAATTCAAAGGATAGAGAGTATTTCCTAATTATGTAAATGTAAATAATGCACATTTGTGGATGTTTTCATAGCTATCGACTTCCGCTCAGTTGTGAATGATTGAAAATTAAAATAAAAAACTTACTGAAGTATTTTTAAATTTAAAGAAATTTTTTACTTTAGTTTTACAATAATTTGTACATAAATACTAAAATATACATATATATTTAAGTTACTTTATATGTATGTACATATGTAGTTAAATAATGTCGACGCTGGTTGAAGGCACGCACATTAATGTTTTATAATATCGCGATCTTTTAGTATTTAAATTGGTTCTAGAATAATTTTTACTAATATTTGTATAAACTATGTTATTTACACTCTATTCAATAATAAAAAATGGCAACAATTTTGCTTAATAACTTATAAATCCTAACCATTTGATTTATATAACAATATCAAAAATTTATGTTTTTATTGTCGAATCGATGAGTGCTCCATTATTGCAATTTCACAGCTTGAAAATATTACTTAGCTTAGTTGAAAACACTTTAAAGCGTTTATTTAACAATATGAAAAATACATACATACATATTGATATGCATGTACATATGTAGGTTTTTTGCCTTCTTTATAATACTTGTCTTTGCAATAAATTAGTATTTTATTATGTTTGAAACAGTAACTTAAAATATCACGGATTCAATTAGAATGTTTGTGTAATATCGCTAATGCAGCAGCGGCGCTCATTTGAAGAAGGTGGCAATTATCTCCGAGAGTGAGGTGGATGTGCCGATTATCAGGCCGAGTATGCCGACAATTATGAGCACAAAATTGCTGACCAGGAGCCATACTTTGGCCACACCTTCTCTGTGATACCAATGAGTGCAAATTTGAATAAGTGCTGGGAAAGCCAGACCGAGCGCTGAGAGGCAGAGCGCGCCGAAAAGGGAAATGAAGAGTTCCAGATTGGGTACGGCAACGGCTAAAAGGACTGCGAAAAGGAAACAAAAAATCATATTAAAAAATGTGAAAAAGTGGTGACTTATTAACGCAGCTAGCTGGACTTACATGTCACTAGAACTATGGACGTCCGCACTACGTATTCCCAGAAAAGTTTCTTTCGTTGGGGTCCTAAATGCTCCGCCACGTAATCATTCCATGTGATATCAATGGCAACATAGCAAGCCAACCCGTGAGTGATGTATATCGCAAACGCCAGCATTCCCTTTACACATTGGGCCAAACTGTTCGCAAGGTAGATTTTATAAACACAAACTCAAAACTCAAAAAAAAATAATAAAATGCATTAAATCTCCTTACATATCTTTCGATGGTAGATTCAATGTAATTGATCCCTCAACTTCACTGCCATAATTCAAGTAGCCGAAGAGACCCATTCCCGTGTAAAGGAACACAATCAGCACCATCGCTACGTTGAGCACACCGCAGCTGCCGCCGAACTTTTTCGGCGTTTTCATTTCATTCTCCAACGGCAGAATGATGCCAATGGCCTCGAGTGCAAACAGCACCGTACCGAAGAAAAGTGGAAAGCCAGCAAAAGGCGCCACCGCCACCTTGTCGTCCGTGGTGAAGGGCTCCCGGAATATATAGTAGCAGATGATGCCGAAAGATACCATGGTGATGCCGTTGGCGATGGTGGAAAATGGCGCTAGATATTTCAGATTGCGGACCTGTGAAATAGAAATCTCATAAGTAATCGAACAACTTAATACTAGTTAGTAAATCGTTTTGGAAACTTACCCAATTGATTAGAATCAGTGGCAGCAGAATGATCACCATGCATAGTCGTAAATCGACAGGCTCTTCCAAATAAAAATCAACGATGGATTTAATATTTGAGGCAACGAAAACGACGTAGACACAACAGCAGCCCAGTTGATAGATTAGCAGAAAAGTGTTGACGATGTGCCCAATATAGGGTGCCAGTTTGCGAAAGAATGGCGGGCCCTCCATTAACGCATGCTCTGCAACGCCGGGATAGTTCATGCTGGGCACCTTAGGGTGGGAGAAAAAAAATTTATGATAAAAATATTAAACGTGTGAGACTATTTTTTTTTTGTCAAACCTTTTTCCGCCGGCATAGTTCGTACTCGGCTTTAACGAGCTGATGAATGCAGTATGTGCAGATGAAGCCAATGACAACGGTACCTATGGTACCTGTTATGTAGCCAGCATTGCGAAAAGCATTCGGCATAGCCAGAATACCGGTGCCCAAAGAACCCTTCAGCAGGTGAAAGAGCGTCTCCGAATTGCTGTGTATGAAATAAGAACAAAAAAAAAACGATGCATTTCTTAGGGAAAAAATCTAACCTTCTGGTTAAGAGGCTATCGAGTTGCGAACAAGGAAATACTTTGTAACCGAAAATTAAATAAAACTAATAAAGAAGCGACTTTATTTGCGAGGAAAGGAACTGTTTTTATTGGAATATTTTTGATTACTGGTCAATGCATAAAACATTATTATTTAAACACTTTGACGGTACGTAAATATTTTTCTCGCATTTTTGATTTTTAAGTTATATACATATATACAAAGTTCACTCATCATTCACGGCCTCATGCCCCAAAAAATATTCATTATACTCACGTTGTTGGATGTTCCACCTCACGATTTTCATAGGGATTGTATTCATACGCGGCAGCATCCTTCGACGCCACTACACTCGCTGACTTGGCACCACCCTTTTCAGCTAACTCCAGTGAATATTTGTTGGCCGGCTTGTCGCTGACAATACTGTCGCCAATAAATGTCGGATTGCTGTGTCCATTTTTGCTCATCATAAAATCGCTGGTTGAACGCTCGAGCACAGTTTAATAAGCGAACCACAAATCCACACTCCTCTCTCACAGACAGATCAATTTGATTTAGTATGTAGCTAAAATTAGCAGACTACACAAATTTACAGAATTAACAAATGAGCGAGAGCGAGCTTGAGAAGTGGTTAAAAAAAAGAACATAATAAATTTGCTTGAAATCATTCGCGCGTTTTTTCACTTAATTGTCGCTAAGAAACTAAAACTAAAATATAGCAGATATTTGGATGCATAATCACACACAAATTTACATACATACGTGTACGTATATAGATTAGTAAGTACTTACATATATACATACATATATGGGGCAAAATAGACCTACTGGTCGCAGTGCTTTATTTAACTATCAAACTACATATATGGGTAGCGCATACCCGTGCACAAGCAGACGCTGAAATATTCAAATGTCCACATACGCATGGCTTTCAGAGCAATAAAACGCGAGGAATTCTGTGAAAAATGTAATTGCAATTAAAATAAACAAATACATAAAATATGCGGCATTATTGTCTGAAAATAGCAAGCCATCTATCAATTGCATAACCTTACTGGTTAGATATGATTAGGCGGCAGGGCTTGATGGGATTCACCACCTTCAGTTTCTCTAAAACCACTTAAAGCGCAGTTAAAAGTCTGGATGGTACCCTAATATCCAGTGGGCTGAGACCATCCAACCCGTCAAAGAGGTAGGCACTTTTTAGTTCTCTTACGAAACTATTCGGTGTAGGAATAAAACCAACCCTACGCTTCATAAGAGCTTCAAAATGGTTCTATGGAGAATAGTCACTGAGGTTTCCGTAGTTCACAGTGATATCAAAATGGTCTAAGTGAGAGAGGTCTGAGTGAATTGGTCTTTTGAACTGACTGCCACATCAACCTAACCTAACCTAACCCGTAAAAGGCATGCAGTGATGGCATAGTGACGCCTTATGTAACCCAACGAAGTGTGGATTTCTTGCTTGAAATGAAATCTTATTTACCTTCTTATTGGGAAGTTGCCATCAAGCCAATTCTGCACCACCGTGAAGATCTGTGCAACACAGTGGTCATAATTCATGCCGCTCATACTGAATCAGCAGTACGCAGCTGTGGAAGCTTTACGGAGCTTTCATCGGTATTCAACACACGGATTCCCGCAAGGAACGAATAGGAAGAAGCAATATTTAATCCTAGACGATAACTCAAGCAACACTTCATTATACACCGATGATTCTAAGCTAAATCATGCAGTGCGAAGTTGTGTTAACATATCTATTTTGTAAAATGAAGCTGCTGTAAGCTGACCACTGCCGCGTGGTTTTCCAAGGCAGAGCTTACTGCTGCGCTTTGGTTGATTGATCTTGATCTGTAGGCGGAAGATATTTTTTTCGGATAGTAAGGCCGCTATAAAAGTGTAGTAGTTTTGTAAAACCTCAATCAAATGTAAATATACTTCATTCGAGGGTAGACGCATTATCTAATGAGTCAGCCTACTGATAAATGCATACCAGTTAAAGAACTAGTCAGCCTTTACATCACGCTATGATAGTTTTTACGGCAGGGATACCCTTAAACGCAGGATGGCGACGCAGACGCCGAGATTGCTCAACTCTTGGCGCTCATATTAACTTGCCCAACCAATCGCACATACATACATAAATAGATACATACATATCATCGCGCTGTAGCGTTCACAATTAAAAGCTAAATAAGATCAAATGTTGGCAGACAAGCGTTTGTTAAATGACGTCGTTGCTTTGTCGTAGACAGGAAACACTGATCTTAACTTGTGTAGATCTGCGAACATCATGCATAGATTTGGCTATACATATGTATGTATGTATGTATTCATACATTTATATGTGCACACAACTATATTTAATTCGAACATGCAATGTATGTATGTACATATTTACAGTTTAGTGTTAAAAATAGATGAGTCTCATAGTTTGCCAGTTTATATTTTTACAAAAGCCTACAACAATGTCAAGTTCAATAATTTGCCCCAAATAGGTATGTATGTATGTTGATTTGTATAGTATGTGAAATTATTTCGCGCCCTACATACTTACATACATATGCATTGCTTGTGTGGCATGCAGTCGATATGTATGAATGCGTTCACTTAGTAGGAGTTCCAAGACATGTTTCAAAGCATGGCACCACTCTGTCTTCAACTCCCAAGTGCAAGCGTTTTTGCAAAGCAGCGCCAAGTGCCAGAAATTCCTTGGCGGCCATGTAGCTCAGAAGTTTTACACACGTACGCATGTGTATGCATCTACATACATATGTATATGTATATGTACTTATTTAGTTATTTGTTTTCGTATTCGCACATAAAAGTGATTTTTGCACCTTTAACGAATTGCACTAAGTGCAACAAATTGTGAAACGTACTCGCATTACTAAAGAGATCTATCATCGCGCCAGAATCGATACAACTAAAATTTCATGACTTTGACGTTAACATTTAGGGGGGGGGGGAAACGTTGATCATTAGTTTGGAATGCAACAAGCAAGTTGCCGTCATTTCGCTTGGCATTCGATCAAAAAATGCAAAATTCTGCAAAATTTTCCACTGTTTTTAATTAAATTCAACAATTCTATTACATATGTATGTATGTATGTATGCACATATGTAAATACATATCTGCGTATGCAGTATAAGAGATAGAAGCCTAAAATCGTAGACAGACGCCAGCATTGATCCGGATCTACTCGTTAATTCGGATATATGTATATTGGGAATTAACTGCAGTTAAACCGGTGTGTATCCTAGAATTAATGACAATACTGATAAGGTCAGTATGCAGCTCTCAAGAAAAGGGCCAAGAAAAAAATTGCCATTATTTCGTGTGTGTGTCCAAGGAATTTTGACATCTGATACTTAACGTAACTTACTACCTCACTCTTTCTTCAAGAACAGGAACAGAAAATAATCATTATTTTTTAACTTTTAACCGAAAACAGCGTCGTAAAATTATTTTAACTATACTCCCATATTTGTATTCGTACGTTCTACTGCAATCTATAATGATTTATATTTTTTGAGTTTGACTAATAAAAATCAAAAATAATAATTAATATCTGATTTTTATTTTTTCGATAAAAAATAATGATTATTTTATGATTTTTATTTTTTAACTTAAAAGTAATTATTATTCATAAAACTCAAAAGCTATCGACATATCCTTTTCAGAAAAAAACCTAAAAAATTTTGGTAGTCGTGGTATACGAACCCACGACCTCGCGACTCTCCTAATTCGCAACACTGCCGTCTGTCAGTATACAATTTTGATCTGATCAGCTGCTCCGTTAAGACGCATCAACGCTGCCGTCTGCCTATGCTATAAGAGTCCGGATGTGGTAGAGACTTTGAAAGGTTGCGGGAATATTAAAATTTTCGAATTTCCCCGACTAAATGATTTATTGGTTTATCTTCTATTGATTTACATACTAACATAGGCAAAAAGCAATATTTTTGATCAAAGCCAAATCTCGCGATAAAAACGTATGGACGAGGGGTAAATGTGAATATATCTTTTAATAGCTAATTGGCAGTCAATCGCAAGCATTCAAGTGCATTTTTGGCTTAAGAAAGCTTTCTATGAAATTTCTCTATTTCGGAAAATTTCAAAACGTTTAATAAATGTAATTGACGTTGTTAATAACGTTACTGGCAAAAATATCCCCTTCGAGGTAAAATACATGCCAGCGTTCTAGAACCAATTAAAATCTAAGGCTCCGAGATTTCGGCAGATGCATTTAACGTCTCTTCATAAAGTGAGACAAAAGCCTCACACTGACTGGCTTTCAATGCATCCGTCTCGCAAAAAAATGTGGTCATGTTTCATACCATTTTTTATGTAAATTAAATTTTACCTTTTGCATTTATTTTACATCGAAATATTTATTTGTATGGAAATAGATAAAATATTTACGCTGAATCCACATTCACTTAGCAGTTCAGTGTTCTCGCCTGACCTTCGCTTACGACTGACTAATCAATTCGAATTAATTGGTTACGATCAAAACTTATATGTACATACATATGTATTTATACATACATACAAAGGCCACAAATCTGCGCTGAACTATAATAACTTTATTGGCTTTTTCATACATATGTATGTATGTACATTCATATACATACATAGGTACCTGCTTAGTCATACACAAGTGCATAGCAGTTTATACGTTATTTTTCTTTTCATGCCATTCACGAAATAATCACTTAGATATACAAATTTGTTTAAAAAAAATGTATTAACCATATCTGAAAAATATGATTCATACATACATACGCATCTTCACGAAGTTATTTTCGTGCTAGAAAATAAATTTGTTACACACCTAGATTATAATTTTTAGACATAGTTTTATAGATCTCCATACAGACCGACTAAGTAGTTGGCGGTATATCACTCAGCAAGTACCAGAAACGATGCCTGGTCCCGTGAGATTTAAAATCAACAGCAAGGAACTATTTCAAGCAACAAAAATACGAAAAATATTTCTTGTGATTATTCTTGGGTATAGCCCTACGAAAACCGAAATCGTTTGTTGTTTGTGGAAGACATATATGTAACTCGGATGAGTAGACTGCAGATCACCCTATTTCTGTGACAACACGAAAAAGTACAGCGTAAACTGTTGGAGACGCAATGGAAAACATTCGGTCTTGAGTGCCCTAAACATATATCTAACCATAAACCTATATCGCTATTTAACTGAAAGGCTTTTAATTATTCATTGCAAGTGCACATTAGACCGTATAACGATAAATGGGTTAAACAAAAAATTCAATTCATTCCAATCGATTTGAACACGCAATAGAAAAATATTTCATTAAAGTAAAATTTTTTACCGAACCGAGTAAAAAACAGCTAAATCTTTTTTATAATATCTTTATTTGATGTCCGATTTCTATAAGTGATACATCATTGTAAAGGTGCGTAGGACCATATCATTTGCATGAAAACTACATCCTTTACGCAATATAGTTTGACGTCACAGAATAATCTTTCCTAGGGAAAGTATGTAGGATTTTTAATACATTTACAATGTTATATCATTTATAGAAATCGGACAGCAAATAAGAAAGTTATTGAATAAAACCGACTTAGCTGGTTTTACAGGGCGCCAAAGCATAAAACTTGTACTATCTTGAAATACACTAATAAGTAAGTATTCAATCAAAAACGCTTGGAAGAAGTTGACTTTTTTTGTGATA